AACTGTCATTCTTTTGGCTTAAGTGAATTTAAGGGTTTATTAACTATACTTTATTTTTTGTAATGTTAAAGTATGTTAAGAGAACTTAGTATGTTTTAGGAGTACCAGCAACATATTCAGTGTAAAAATTTTAATGCTTCATTTATTCAATAAGCAAAGACTTGCTAATGAGATTGTTGCTCTAATGGGTTATCTACATTTCTTTCCTCTTTTTAAAGCAGTTCTCTTGCAGCCCTTCCCTCATTTATTATGTGAATTCAAATTATAGGATAAGCCAGCAGTCCTCAATGTGTTAGAAACAGATCCCTCTTTGTCCCCATACCCATGAGGGTCCCTGAAATACTTTCTGAATGTCTTTAAGTCCAAATTATTTTCATATTAATACTAAGATGTGATTTGCTTTTCTCACCATTGGTGTTTGCACTGATAGTGTAAAAGCAATGGGTGGGTAGAACTGGTGGTTCTCCAGAGTGAATCAAGGCAAAGGCAGTAAACTGTATTAGTAGTCATCATCTTCGTTACACATGAATGTGGTGAAAAAAAGCCAATTTCACTTAAAAATGCTTATGATAAAGCAGTAAAAATGATTAGTTTTAATAAACCTTGATTCTTTAATCTATGTCTTTTTAATCACTGCATGTTAAAGTCGCAAGTACATGTAAAGCACTCCTGCTGCGCACAGAAGTGGGAGGATTCTCTCCACGGCCCCTGTAAGGCAAATTAGCCACTCTTCATGGAACACCAGAGGCCTAACAGACAACTCGTGGTCATTCAGACCCAGGTACTTGACAGACATGTTCTTGAAAATGAGCAAGGTGAGCCCATTTATCCAGTGGAAACAACAGACAAAATTTGTTGACAATGAAAAATTGAGCTTTCAAGTGAAAATTGTAATTTTGGAAAACCTGTTTCTATTACTATGAATTTGATAGCCTTCCAAATTTCTGAGATCAATGGTGATATTTTTGTGATTGTTTTGATATTATATAATGAGCCCATACTTTTCCAAATGACCAGTGACCAACGCATGATGTTACAAAATCATGACAGTAAAAAATCCATTCAAGAACAATGTTGACTGCCATTTTAATTTAACAGATCACAAAAAGTTCATTGATAAACTTTTAGATTCTACATTGCTAGTTTTTAAGAAAGTATAATTATCTGAAAAGGCTAAATTAAAAAGAATACTTCTCCCTTTTCCAATTACATATCGCTGGATTTTCTTCTTATATTTCAACCAAAACAACCTATCACAACAGGTACAAGAATCTAACTTGATCCCACTTAACATTAAAAAATTTTTCAAAAAATGTAAACCCAAGCCACTTTTCTCACTAAATTGCTTTTGGAAAATATTGGTATTAGTCATAAAATACATTCACATTAACAAGTGTGATGGTTAATTTTACATGCCAACTTGGAGCATGTTTTTGGAGATTAGTGTTTAATCAAGGAACTTTGAGTACAGCAGATTGCTCTTCATAATGTGGGTGGGCCCTCATCTAATCAGTTGAAGGCTTAGATAGAACAAAAAAGCCAGTCTCTGTAAGCAAGATGGAATCCTGCAGACTGCCTTCAGACTGCATCTGCACCAGCAGCTCTCCTGGGTCTCCAGCCCACTGGGCTTTGGATTGGAACTGGAACATTAGCTTTTCTGGGCCTCCAGGCTGCCAGCCCACACTGCAGATTTTAGACTTACCAGCCTCCATAACCCTGTGAGCCAATTCCTATATTTCTTTCTATCTCTATATACATCCCATTAGTTTTGTTTCTCTGGAGAACTCTAACTCTGACTAAACAACATGTAATGGGCTTATTATTATTTTAAATGAGTAAGTATTTTAAATGTTTCCTCATTTTATTTTTTCAATCTGAATTATGAAGTTTTATTGCATTTTTTTAAAATTCAGAGATCACAATACAGCCAAATGATTATCAGAGTTCACTATTTATTTCATTCTATCCTAGCACTAAGGATAGTAAATTTTGGATAAATATATAATACTCTAATATTATTTAATTTATTATTATCTGACAAGTTTTCAAGAACTGTTTAAATAATGAGAATGCGTTTAAACTACAGGTGTACTCAACTGTTCTGCCCAGAGGCCGAGATGCTATTGACAGTCAATTTAACATTAAGCATTTAAACTCCCCTCATAGAAGCCGATAAAACTCAAGTCTTTATAACAGTGATTCTCAAAGGTATAGGCATGGAGTTTGAGCATGGGGTTCACCTACCCTCCCTGAAAGAATCATGAGAACCTGAGGTTAGTGATACTGGAGTTTTTTCCATTCCTGGCAGAAGTATTCATTGCCCTTCTCTTACAGACTTACTGCTGGAGCGAGTAACTGCTACACATTTCTCAGGAGTATTGAGGCAAGTAAAATGATCAAGAATCATTACTCTATGGTTTGTATTCTACTCGGGAGACACTTTAAATAATAGATAAATATAACTTGAAAAGATAAAAGGAAATAAACAATCAAAGCTTTGAGGAGTTTGTGCTTATCTATCATAGTCTATCAGGGCCTTGCTGCTCTATTAGTAATGTTACAGCAAAACCATTATATTTTAATTAGTTAATGAATTATTTCAGTGTTACTTGTTTTATTTACAATCTCATTATTTCTCCCCTTTTGCGAATAATATGGTTTTCCAAATTTAAATAGTAAAAAAATCTGAGATTTTTAGTAGAAATAATTATACAGTTGACCCTTGAACAACACAGGTTTGAACTGTACAGGTCCACTTATATGTGGATTTTGTTCAGTAAGTTATTGAAAAAATTTTTGGAAATTTGTGACAATCTGAAAATTTTTTTCTCTAGGTTACTTTATTGTGAGAATACAGTATATAATACATATACAAAATATGTGTTAATCGACTATATTTTCAGTAAGGTTTCTGGTCAACAGTAGGTTATTAATGGTTAAGTTTTGGGGAAATCAAAAGTTATATGTGAATTTTCAACTGTGTGTGGGGGGGTCACATCCCCAACCCCCATGTTATTCAAGGACCAATGGTAATTATATGCAATGAATCATGCCTTTCTTTATATTTTACACCCCTTTCCAATGTGATATTGTTGCTCTTCCCATCAAGAAATTGAGTGTATTTCGCTACTCTTTTGAACCTGGGTGTGACTTCCTTTGACAAACAATGTTACAGAAGTGCTCTTGTACATTTTGGAGAGTGGAAATGTCTACTCTCACGCTCTCAGAATGTTAAGACCATCATGCTATGAAAAATCAGTCTACACTACTAAGGTCATGTGGAGAACTGAGATTTCCCAGCCAACAGCCAGCACCAACTGCCAGACATGTGATGAGGCCATTTTTGATCCTCCAATTCCAGTTAAGCTTAGATGACTGTAGCTGCAAGATTGATCCCAGGTAAAACCATGAGAACACCAGATGGCCAACCCACAGAATTATAGTAATAAATAAACTTTCATTTTCAGACACTAAGTTTTGAGGTGGTTTGTTACACAACATAGGTTAAATGAAACAGAACTATCCTCTCAAAGTGTTTGTGTATGGGTATTAGGCTTGGTGGGTATAAGTAACTGGGCATTAACTTTTTTTTAATTAAGATATCACTGATATAAACTCTTATGAAGGTTTCATGTGAAAAAGAGTGTGGTTACTACATTCACCCATATTATCAAGTGCCCCCCATATCCCATTGAAGGTCACTATCAGCGTAGTAAGATGATAGGCATTAACTTTTACAGATGCTATAATGAAATGGAGGGACATGTATGTTACATTCTAGAAGAATTTCAAAATTTGTTTTATGTAAATGTAGGATGAGGGAATGAAACACAAGAATTTATTTGGTGAATCCATTCATTCAACAGGTATTTATTGCACATCTTCTATATACCAAGCACTATTCTGGGAGCTGGGTCTACAGTGGCCAATAAGACAGATACTGCCCCTGCCTTCCTATAGGTTATAGTCTGAGGGAAAATATGCTATTAAGGAATTTCTAAAAGTTTGATAAGGAAGTATAGGTTGCTGATGAGTAAGCAAATTTAGAGTTAGCTAAGGCTTTCCAGAGGAAGATATTTAAGCTGATAGTTGAAGGATGAATAGGACTTTAGTCAGAGAGGGGATATATGAAACTGTGGGGTGGGTCAAGAGAGTACAAGATGTTCCAGAAAGAGGAACATTATCTATGACGGCTCAGAGGTGAGAGCACAGTGCATTAAAGCCACCACAAAACTTTGTGTAGTATATGGGGAATAAGAGATGAAGCTTGGCAGTAAGGTAGCAGATAATAAAGGAGTTTGGAGTTGTTGATTTTGGAGATGAAAAGTGGCAAGATAATTCTGGATTTTAGACAAGGCAATCTGACAATTGAGTGGAGAGTGATCTGAAAGGAGGCAAGAACTGAGCTGTTATCACAGTTCAGGTGAGAGGGAACTTAGAATAGTGGTAATGCCAATGGACAGACAGGATAAATTTAAGACTTTTAGGGGATATCATCTCCAGACTTAAGTGAATGCACATGGGTAGTAAGGTAGGAGTTAAAAGATTCTCTCTAGATTTCTGGCCCAGGCAACTGAGTAGATGGATGAAACCATCATGGAAACTGAAAACACTGAAAAAACAGTGGGGAACTATGAGTTCAAGGTACTTTGAATTAACCAAGTGCAGTTGTCTAGCTAGGTGTACTGGTTTGTAACTCAGGAGAGACGCCTAGCCTGGAAATATAGATTTGGGAATCATTAGCCAGAGATGGCAATTTAGGTTCTGGGGCGGGGGTAGCTGAGATTGCACAAGAAGTACGAGAACTAAGTTCTGGAAAAGAAGTCTTTCCAATAAACGTTTAATATTAAGAACCACTCTTCACGATTTCTTCTTTAGTCCTTTCTACGTTAATTTCCACAATTTGGAGGAAATGGAGATGGGCCTCTGGCATATAGATTTTTGACTGGTAGGGTCAGAACAGGTGCCATAGCTTTTACAGTAAATTGAGAAAGGCTTACGGAGCATGTGATGCCGAACTTGCGAGTTGCCAACTGTTGGAAAGCAAGGTCAAGAGCCGTTGCTCCTATGGGGACGAAAAGCAATTCCCGGACGATGGCGAAGGCCGGCCAGCAGGATTTGGGGGATGGGTTCTACCCCAACTTGTCGTCATGGAGACGGGGCGGATATGAAGTGTCCGAGTAAGTGCGTTCGGAACAAACCCTTTCAAAAGACTAAAACAAGAGAGAGACGCTGAAATAGTTGGTTACGTGCCAAAAGGCAGACAAGTAGGTTAAAACCAGCCGTGCCGCAGTGGCCGCGAGGTACGTCCGCCCAGGTTAGGCCCGGCTTGTTTTCGGCACCCACTAGACACAAAGGGGAAGGGGAGCCTCCTTACCGGAAGCAGAACTCCTGCTCTGCGGCACGTTACACATTCCTCCGCGCCGGAAGCGCGCGGCCGCCTCGGCCCGGTTGCGTACACGGTCCGCGCTGTCTCCGAGAGGAGGGGTCGTGGGGCTGCAGGGTATACCCTGAAGTCGTGGGGCAGCGCGGAACTTTACCGGACGAGTCAAGGAACGTCACTGGGTTGCCGGGAAAGGACGAAAGAAGGAAGGTCATACAGCGAGGCGTCGCGTTGCTGCGGAGGGATTCTGTTTCTGGCGTGGCGGAGGGATCTGGCAGTAACGTGAACTTCCGGAAAAGTCCTGGCCCTGAGAGGAAAAGCCCCGAAGGAAACAATAACAAACGAGAGGAGGAAGCGGCCCTGGTGTTCGTGTGGCGAGCAGTTCTTGCTTGAGAAGATGCGCTTCAGATCCCGTCCGGGGACGTGAAAAGGTTCGGTGGGCTTCTGCCAGACTTTCTCCACCTGCCCGCCTCGGGGCCGCTGGGAGTTGCCATGGCGGGTGTGGGGCCGGGGGGCTACGCGGCGGAGTTCGTTCCCCCGCCGGAGTGCCCAGTCTTTGAGCCCAGCTGGGAGGAGTTCACAGACCCGCTCAGCTTCATCGGCCGCATCCGACCTCTGGCAGAGAAGACCGGCATCTGCAAAATCCGACCACCAAAGGTACCAGACTGAGGAGAGGGGAAGGGATGTGGAGGAGGTTAGCTTAACTTTTCCGACCCTTCTGCCTTTTCGTATTTACCCTTCCTCATTTCGCAGGAATTAGAAGCTAAGTTTCTGGATGTTTTTTGCCTTCGTTTTTTGAGTTCTTAAGGTAGGCCCTTTAAGAACGCGAAAGAGTGGTGTCCCTGGGGCCTTCTGCCTAGAACCTGGGAACTGGTATTTCATTTTCCCTTGATTGCGAGCAAGGGTGACGAAAGGCTTCAGGCCTTTCTTTGGCCTGTAAGATGTTTGAAGAAGTATGTCCTGGCATGTCCTACCTTCACGTACAGTCAATCATCAGTACCGTGCGATAGTTAAAACTGCCCTTCCGTCGGCTGTTTGTTTATGCAAGCCCTATTAATGCTTAATTTGTTAAATATTTGCAGGCCTCGTCTCAGGGCCAAGCTTTCTTAAACCGTAATCTGAGCTCTAGTTCCCTACGGTGGTGTCACCAAACAAGAACCGTAGACTGATTACTGCTGCAGTGCAATGAAGAGTCTTCCCTGGCGAAGAGAAAGAGCAGCGTTTATTTCTAAAATTAAGAGGTTCGGGAAGAATTCTCAACGGAGGTGGAAAAAAATATCTGGTACAGGGAATCGGGGATCAAAGATTTACGAATTGCAATTTATTGCAAATAATTGAGGTTGTCTATAGGTTAATTATAATCCAAAATTTTTAAGGTAAGGAAAGCAGATACTACTACTTGTTTGGGAGAATTAGTGCCCCAAGAGGTTGACTGATTTGCTCAAGGTCAAAAGGTTTTTTTTCTTTCCCAGTTGTTCTCCAAATCGTGTTCACGGCCCACCTGCACCAGATGCTCGTTAAAATGCAGATCTCTGCACCTCATTTCTAGAACTTGAATCAGTTTCAGAATGTGCAAGTTCTAGAATCCGTTTTTCTAGCAGTACTCTCAGATGATGCTTAATGTACTTTAGAGTTTGGGAACCATTGCCTTAGCTTTTCTTAAGGGGACACCTTGCTTTATGTTCTGTTTACTACTACTCGCGGATTATTTCATTTAATAGCCATTCAAGCCCTAGTAGGTAAATTAAGTCTCATTTTACAGATGAGCCAGGTATGGATAAGTTCGGTAATTTACCAAACTTATTATGATCTTGGGCAAGTGACAAAGCAGAGTTTGAATCTAGACCAATCCGTTTGATTCTAAAACCCAGACATGCTACTCCATGGGGCTTAAAGAATTTGATCAAGATTATGGATTTATCAATTGTAAGCAAAGATTAACGTGTAATTGCTATGATGAATGATGATTATATGCATTGCCATCCTCCAGAAGCTGCACTTAACACTTTTTTCTATCAAAATTAAGTAGTATTGATAAAACCTTTGAAGTTTTTCCCTAAACCCAATTTTAATCTACTCTGTTGCCTTTATAAATTAGAAATTCTATTCAATGTTTATTTGGGGAAAAAAATTAAAACTTTTTTATTTAAAAAAAGGCTGAGATGATATACCTTCAGTAGGATGAAAAATTTTCACTGTTTATGTTTTTAAATAGATGTGCCATTATTAAGGTCAAATCAAACTATGTTTTCTAGAACCCTATTTGGAATAATGCTAATTTGAGTTATACCGCAACTCCAATCTGGAAATTGTTCTTGTTCTGTAGGCTTACCTTTATTTTTATTTTTTTTTTTTAAGTGTTTGGGTGCCCAGAAGCTGGGCTTTGAACAAAACATTTATATAACATAGACTCTAAAGTGCTGTGTCACATTACACATGAATGAAAAACATATCCTAATATATAAGTACTTTAAAATTTTTTTCATCTTTAATTTACCCTTTTTAGTTTCAGATTCTCTGTTTTTATTTGGTGAACTTGGATGTTTATTAAACTCTATTGTGATATGAGTTCATTGCATTCCACTTGAGAGTAATGGGGCAAAACGTATCTGTGAGACGTAAATAATGGGACTGCTGAGATTGGGGGAGGATTTATAGATAAAAAAATTTTAATAGAATATCAGAGGTAAGTAATATTAAAATCATCTTGTGTAAGAAATATTGCCTTTTCTCTATTCAGACTTATAAATTGATCTGTTGTCATTCCTTAAGCAAATTAATAATGCATTCCTTGCTTATGTACCATTATGTTTTAAAAACAATTCTTTCTGTTTAGGATTGGCAACCTCCATTTGCATGTGAAGTAAAAAGCTTTCGTTTTACTCCCAGAGTCCAGCGCCTGAATGAACTTGAGGTGAGTGTTGTGTTATCACCATTTCTGTTGCCTGATTCATTGTTTATATCAGGACTCCAGGTAGAGAACTTTGAGAAACTAATGTACCAGGGCTCAAAGTTAATTTAAATTAGGATTGAATAGAAGGAAGTTATGTCAGGATTCCAGGTAGAGAACTTTGAGAAACTAATGTACCAGGGCTCAAAGTTAATTTAAATTAGGATTGAATAGAAGGAAGTTTCTGGTTTTTTTTTAAAAAAAATTGTTTAAAGTAGTCATTGTGGGTTTCTCACTTAACGGGATTATGGGAAACTGTCTCTAGCCATGTTCATGGGAGTGGAGATAATCCAGTGTTTAGCTTCAGAGATCTGCAATTAAGTTCTGCTTTTATCAGCACATATTATTATTCTGAAATTTTTGTTAATGTTGGAAGATTCTGGCTCCTTGTGGTGTTTGGAAAATAGTTTTAAAAATTCTGTCAAAAAACCTAGTTTTCAAAGTAGTTTTTTTGGCTTTAACAGAGCTTTTCCAGGACTGTTAATGTGATTTATTAAGATCTCCTTTAAATAGTATTGATCTCTCTCAAATTTCCGAACTTGAAGTCTGTTTAAATATTGTTGTTTATGTCTGGTGGATTTTTAGAAGATTCTTCCATGTAGCAGACAACTGTTTCTGAGTACAAAAGAGAAATTTTAGATAGCCAAGGCTTAATAAGTCATGCTGAGTTTTTTTTCTTTCATGTTTCTAAAACACTAATTTTCTGAGATTTTAATAAATATTTTTCCTTTAATCTCATGTAATTAGATACTAGATGAAGGATCTTAATATCAGTGAGGTAGAGAGTTGGTGTACCTGGGGTATGCATATAATCTACAGATGAAGTGACAGACTTGGAATGCTTAGAGACAGACTAATTTGATTTACTAAATTTTCTCATTAGCTTAAAGTTAAGTCAACTTTTACAAAATTAGAGTGTCTTTTTTGCCTTAACGAGTAAAGTTTATTGGAAATATTTTTGCCTCTTTATCATAGGCTTATTTTATGGGGTTAGACTTAATAATAATGAAAAGTCTTTGAATTTCTTTAGAGGGATGAGTATTATGTTAAGAAAACTCACTTATTTTCAGCAATAGCTTAATTCCTATTTCTGATTTGTTTTAATAATCTTAGGCAATGACCAGAGTGAGACTGGACTTCTTGGATCAACTAGCAAAATTTTGGGAACTTCAGGGATCTACTTTGAAGATCCCTGTGGTGGAGAGAAAAATCCTGGATCTGTATGCTTTGAGCAAGGTGAGGCTTGAACTTGGTTTGGAAATTGGAGCAGAGGCTAGTGAATTTATGAAATTAGGAATTTCAAATTATCTTAATGGAAAATGCCACATCCTTTGCAGGATTTGTTTGGTAATGAAATGCAAGCATGAATAAATGAAAATGACAGATCTTAGTTATTTTTTAAATCTTTTATAATTTTTTATAGGGTTCATATTTAAAGGCTCAAATTGGTAGGCTTTGTGATACATAATATGTAACAGAAATGACACCAACCTACTAATATTATCTTGTGCTGAGTATATCATATTTTGAGCTTGTCAGTTTTTTTCTATTTACTGATTAAAAATTTGATATATTAAAAAGATTCATGTTGCTGAGCATTCTCATATCTGAGACATCAGTTTTATTAATACCTGTAAAAGTGTTACTAGTTAATTGAGGCCAGCATTATCCAGTAGAATGAATAAGTGCTTGAAAACTTAAGGAAGAGAAGGGCTTAGACTTATTTTTGCCTGAACTTAAATTAATTTTGTAATATTACATCTAGTGTGAAAAAGACTGACTTGCAACAGGGTTTGTAATTGAGAGCATGTTTTGTTAATAGTAAAAAACCTGTGATTCCTCTGACTTGTGAGGGAAGACAGCTTCATATTCTGAAGATTTTTGCAGAATGACTTATTTTTGTGGCCTTTCATATTCTGTGACATACTGTTTTGAAATAAAAATTTATTTTTATTTAAATAGTAGAGTTACATTTTGAATATTTCAATTTCAAGGAAATCCCCTTATCCCTCTCTCCCCACCCCTCTCCCCAACCCCTTTCCCTTTGGTAACCGCTAGTCCATTCCTGGGTTCTGTAAGTCTGCTGCTGTTTTGTTCCTTCAGTTTTGCTTTGTTATACTCCACAAATGAGTGAAATCATTTGGCACTTGTCTTTCTCCGCCTGGCTTATTTCACTGAGCA